TTTTGAACATGATTTTCGGATTCTGCTGTTGAACTTTTACTGATAAACGACGGCACTTCTTTGATATTGTTAAGCAACAATAGATTTACACATTTTAGACATTATCATAAGTGATCAACTGCAATTTACACCGCGAATGTTCCGCCATACTTTTAGCCGCAGTTACGGCTAAAGTTTTATCGCAATTGGAATTTCTGAAATAGACAAGATAGTAGGTCTTCAATCTTCTTCGATCGCACTAGAAAGATAATATGTCTCCGCACCCTTTCTTGTTCCAATAATATGTTGCCCACTCATTCTTTGTGCGCAAGTGTTTCAAAATTCGCTCGTTCGTATTTTTCACCACGACAAACGTTTGCTTATTCGCGAATCATTTCCGTTTATACGTATCCGGAATAACAATCGTACGTGCATCACCGCGTATTCTTTGCAAACAGAAAAGACAAACAAAATCGCAAACTTAAACCGATGCAATTTTCGTTCGATTACTCGCGTAAAATCCGCACAAAATATTGCTTTACATTACAATATTAACACTTAGATTAATTAAATATAATGTCTCGAAATCAATCAATTCATATTTCTTAAATATTTTTGTGCATAATAAATTTATATTAATTTATCTTTTACATATCCTCTATATATTTCGGTGAATTGACAACAGAGGTATTATTTCCATTATGTCGAATATTTTTAACGATATTTTTAAACGATATTTCTTGTTAAAGATCAGATTTGATATCATACTAAAATTATTCTTTATTTGAATCATTTATCTTTTTATCGAGTTTAAACATCAATAACCGTTTCGTTAAAAATAAACTTGGAAAATATTGACACACTACAATATGTATTTTAAAACATTTCACTTTTTGCATTATTTTCATATATATCACAATCAGATGTCACATTTCACATATGTGCTATCCGAACCTGCGTTAATAATTATTTAATTTGGGTTATCGAACAGACGTTATGATTCCTTCACAATCTATTCGTTATAGATTACATTTCTCTTTCATCGAACCCCGTCTGATTTATTAATACGCTAATATTTGATTAATTTCCAGTTAATTGGCAATTCCATGAGAACATTTCCACTTCATTAGCTTTGCGCGATAATCGAAGATAAGCAAAACACGTTTTAGAAATTATTATTCGATTTTAGGAAATTTAAATTCGATAGAAATTTAAAAGCTAAAGATGAAACATACAATCTGGATTTTACCGTTTCTCCGCTTGCGTCATAGTTACGCATAATTCTGTTATCGAAAATAAGTGCTCTTATCGAATAAAGAAGAATATGACCACTTTTGATATAACAAATCATTGAAAGCCCGATACATACATACATATATGGAGTACGTTTTTTTAGGTAATCACACTTTTAAGTGGATATCCTATGTAGATAATTGTAACGATATATCTTTTAAAAAAATATGAGTGGAAAAACTCTAATTCAACGTGCAATATCTTAGAGCGTTCTACAAAATGCTCGGAGCAACGTTCCCTTAGAGATAAATCCAAAGTGTTTGCGTATAATATTACTAAAAGGAAATAAAGTCAATCGGAGACACTCTGTACATAAAAAAAGGTATTGCCAAAGACCGAAAGTCGTTTATCGTTCGTCTACGCTTTGATATCGAGCATACTTTTCTTTTGATATGTTAACCGATAATTCCGATAAGCGATCGTATGGTTTTCACACAAAGATCTTTCTTTCTGATTTCTTCACGTTAAGAATCTCGATTTCCGCTCCGGTATTGGACAATACAGAGTAGTACAAGAATAGCGTTACATTAATGCGATTGATGAACTTCTAAATGTGCAAAAATATCGAGCTGGCTCTGTTAACATTGAGACATTGTTTGCTACATTCTTGGACGGTTTTCTACTAGTCACCGATCTTTATCCTGATCATCTATCTTCCAAGCAAATAATATTGTTTGTTTTTTTTAACAAAGAAAACAGCTTGATATAAAAATTCAATGTAAATATAAAAATATCTATTTTTACAAACAGGCACTTCTCTTCGCAATACAATAATTAAAAATTGAAAATGTTTCTAGATAAAAAAACAAAATACATAAAACTTTGCAGAGCTAAACGCATTTTAAGAGAAAGAGAGGAAAAAAACTGCGATTTTTATTGTTTCGCTTCAACGATGTTCAAATTTTTATTGCTTTGATCATTTTTATTGAAAGTTTGATTTGCGTGTGCAATATCGGCCTAATTCGCTTCTGAAGTGGCGCGGGACAGAATGCATGTCGCGGTTTGTTGTTGTGCCGAGCATACATGTTATGCACGCGTTAATAAGCGCCTGATCGCGTGTGCGTGTGTTGGACGATGGACGAGATTCCGGTGTGCGACGATCGATGGTGCGGGCGCCCTTCTCTTCGCGCGCGCGAATTGCTATCGGTCGAATGTAAACGAACCAAGTACCAAGGGTAGAAAAAATCGAGCGGCTAAATTGGGTCACTGGTTTACCCGCGAGCGTTTTCTTTAACACGCTTATCGCATCATTAGGACGATTAGAGCGGTTGCTAAGGAAAATTGCGATATTACCCCGTTGACGACTCCTGTTGATTATCGAGGCGCTCCTCTTCTGGATTATCCCAGATTACTTTCTGAATCATACCGTCAAAGAAGCGCCCATCATTGCAAACATACGTCATTGTCGGTACATTCGCGCATCGATCAAAATTCTTCGGTGTTTAAATTTTTTCGAGACTTTTTTTTATAATCCAGAGTATTTTAGAAGAATTACTAATAATTAATAATCGACAGAGCTTTTTTTAAAAGACATCTACATCTTAATTTTTCCGAAAAAAAATGCTTTTCAAAAAATTCCTTCAAATTTTAATGAGAGCAGGAAAAAATACCGTTCCAAAATATGATAAAATATCTCTCGGTTATTTGCTTATTTTTCTGCGAATATACGTATTACTTTTGCGATTTCGTTATCGCGGTATTTGAATTGATAATACGGGGAGATTTATTCATTCTTTCTTCAGTTAACGCAAGAGTGATGTTTGAGATAGGAGCCGAAATAAACGCAACGGGTTGTAACAGAATCTCTGTCTTGTAGAAAACATAACGGAAACCAGATGGGACCCTTAAACCGTCTCTCGTGCGCGAGGATAATGTGTTTCGCTAAAATTGCGTTACACTTTGAAGCGAATGGACAAATATCGCTGCCGCAAATTGTCCGATAAATTATATAATATTTGAAACACGACACGAGAAGAGTAATGCGTACTAAAAGAGTTTTAACGCGGCTATTTATAATTCTAACGTTCTGACATTTTTTATCGCTATATACAAATTTTGCTAAAATTAACTATGGAAAACTACAAACGAGCATTAATACCCAATATGGCTCAGGTGATATCACGATTTTCTTCGACATTCGCTTCAATCATTTCACTGATAGCGAGCGAATGCGATAAGCGCGTTAACGCAAATGTAGGCAAATCTTCGAAACACGTAAACGCAATATGTGTAAATTATGACTAAACTGACGTTTTCAAAAGTACTGGAAATCCCACTGGAGTATACGATCGATCTTTTCGGCCGAAACTATGTAATATTACTCGTATGTATATTATTTCGTCCTGTCAGCGAAATAAATCGACGGAACGTCTCTTGGGGAATAAATTTCTACGAAGCAAAATGAGAAATTCAAAAATAAGACGGCATTTTCCAGTGTACGAAAATGAAGAACAATCACTGTATCATATTTCGTATAATGTTACATTCATGCCTTTTTTGCCAGATTTGTGGTTTTTATTGCATGGTAGATTTTATATGTTAGATAATTATATTTTTTTATTAAATTATTCTAGCATTATATGTTACATAGCATGTCCCAAAAAATAGCAAAAAATGAACACAGCTGACACAAACATGGCATTACCCCAACCACTCGTCAAGTCAATTTACGGGAAAGAATGTCTTCTTGCTAACAGTCGGAAGGTAATTTTACGCAGTTGCATTCAGGCGAATTAACCGTTAGGTTACAACGTTGCAAACTGTAAGCTTTCCGGCCTGTTTTCTTTTTAATCGTGTCATCTGATTAAAATCTATCTCTATGTACCCTTCGCATAATTTTGCGCGAATACATTTAAATCAAATTAAATTTTTAAAACACCAGATCTAACCGATGTATTTGCTTTAAGTTACGAGTCTTCCGTATTCTTACTTCCTATTACAAAATACAATTATTAATCAAGTCTATCGTGTAAATCTCACTGAACCTTTCACTTTTTTCTACATTATCTTTTTGTCGATGAAAGTTCGTCGATTTGATTTTTTAAAAATCTGTATCAAAATTATTATGCACACTAAAGTGCAGTTTTCCTTCGACTCTTCGCGTTGCAAAATCGTGCGATTGCTCGTGGGAGGATCGTTGAAAATCGGTGATTTCATCGTGCAGCTGACTTTCCCGAGAAAGACGTAGCTGCGAAGAGAGGACGAGGAAAAAGTTGACGCGCGCTTGCGCTAGCGGTCGGCGCGCAACGCGGAAGAGTTAAGGAGAAAAAAAGAAAGAAGAGGAAACTCACATTTTTCCTGGCTCCCTACGCGGTCCACGTGGCCTCGTTGAAAACGGATGGCGTCTCCCGAATTCGTCGTTGCGAAGCGTTTAGTTCACATTTTTCTTGCGCGTCGGGAAAATCAACGGATCCCGACTGAGAAAATTCGGAGTCGATGACGATGATGGATCACGAATGCGAGCGGATGATACCTGTTGGAAAAATTGACCCGACGGTCTCGCACTTTCCTCTCCGTAGAATCACGAATGAACACATCAGATACACGGCGTCGTCGTGTTGCGAAAGTAGCACCGTTTATTTTTCTTTAGCCACTCTTAAATATCGCTTCGGAATGATCAACTCACCTTTACATTTTCGCGAAAGTGTTATCGCGTGCGATCCACTGCGGCTGATAAGCGCGCTGCCAGACGTTACATCGATGTGTATAACGGCCGACAACACACAACCGCATCTGCTTATCGCCGTACACGTACTGACAATTGAAGCTGATCAGCACGCCGCGGTCGACGCGTTTCTGAAATTGGCGCCATCTGGTATCGCATGTAAGCAGAGTGAGTAATAAAAAAGACAAAAAAGTCCTACGTGCAGTAAAACCTACGTACGCGAAATGTTACTATAAAACTCAAAGCGTATTTGCAACAAACGACAGTTAATTTGCAATCTAATTGGTTAGCGCTGTTAATTCATACAGTTCTTGTTATATTAAAACAGTTTACTTAACAGACTAATAATAAATGTAGATTTCGAAAATTTAACATAGCATTGTCTTTCTAATTAATTTCTCTTCAAAGCCTATTATTTATTTTTCTTGCTGCTCATATGTTTACAATTGCATTTTTATTAAAAATCAGATTCGAAACAAAAAACAAAACAACAAGAATTAATTGTTGGCCATCAGAGAGTAATTGATTATTTTTTGCATACGATTCAAATTTCGCAATCTCTTCAAGCCGCTTTGCAATGCATCGATAGGCCACGATCTAGGGAAAATCGACGTCACCTGACGTCGTCGTCGCCGTCGCCGCCGTCACCGCCACCGCCTGGCCGCCACCGTCACCACCGTCGTCGCTACCGCCGTCGCCGTCATCATTGAAGTAGCGAGAGAAAGAGTTGGTCTTCCTACCGTTCTCCGCGTCGTATCGTGTCACATAGCAATCGCGCAGCATATTCCCGATCGCGTGACATCGAAAGGGACGCGACGAGTGAGAGAGTGACGAGAAGGAGCGTTCGTGAGAGGAAAAACACGTCCGCATACACGGCGTTCGAGTCGCCTGATAATCCGCTAGACCGAGCGCTCTCCTCCTTCGGCTCGCTTCTTCCGGCGCGAACATGAATGAAGAATACGACGCAATCGTGCTCGGCACCGGTCTCAAGGAATGCATCCTCTCGGGGATGCTCTCTGTCAGCGGCAAACGAGTGCTCCACATCGACCGCAACAAGTACTACGGCGGTGAATCGGCCTCCATCACGCCCCTCGAGGACCTGTTCGGGTGAGTACTCGTCCTGCCCTTCGCCTTCCCCCCCCCCCTCCTCTACTCTTCTCTTCTCGAGCAAAAATCCGCGGAAAACACGCGATAAAACATTGCGAGCATGTTTTCTCAGACGTTTCGCGATGTTCTCTCAACATTTACGTTGCGTGAATCCGTTTCCTTTTCCCTCTCTCCCGCTATTTGCGGCGGACAGGCGGGAAACCGTCATCTTCGACAGCTGTGCGACGTATGTGCACGACGTGACTACGGATATTGATTTCCTTCTCTTCCGCGATCGAAATCTCGCCGATCGATATTCGCAGATAGACCGAGACGAGAGAGAACGAATGCATATGAAAAGATGGAAGAGGGGAGAAGACACGTTCCTGCGGGGAACGCATCATCGTTGAAACTGCGTCGCATACGGCAGGGGAAGTGTATCGATTCTCGAGTTCACCGCGCGCAAATCAACGAGCGCGGCCGCTTTTGATTCTCGTCACGCAATTAATCGAATCGGTGTAGTTGACCGGTTGTGCGTAACCTCCGTCGATTTACTTCCACTTTAATCAAAGTTGCTGTCAAGAAATATTACAAAATTAATATAATTATTCTATTTTCGCGAAGACATGAATGTTGAATGTTCAAATTTATGTATTTTCGTTGAGGAAGAAAAAGATAGTAAGCAAGATAAATGAAAAGGACGAAGTAGAAATTAGTAAAAGTATATAATAAAATAAGTAAAAAATTATTTACTGAAATTTTGGCATAGAAGCGAGGGCTACAAACGAACGCCGCGAATGCTCTGATACTAATTGCAAATTCTGGTAGTTGCTACTGACCGGTCGAAAGTAGCGGAGAGTTCGGTACCATCAGCCTTTGCAACGGTTACGTTTAAGTGTAGCAAACAGGAGGAGGGGAAAGAGAGTGTCCGCCCCGCAGGAGAGAACCGCTCGATCGAACGAAATCGTCGTGACGCGGCTTCCCTGCCGCAATGATTTCGTCCTTCGTTAATTTCTTCTTCTTCCCGGCGAAACCTTCATCGCAATTTCACTCTTGCGGTCTTCTAAAATTACTTTTATCGCTGTATTTAATTCACGCTTGACCGCCACTGCGGTATTTTGCTTTGACTGTGATGTTGGCCCCTAGATGTACTTTCTACGCCTTACGTCTTTCTCTCCTGTCCTGGAAAAGTATGAGCATATTTTTATTCCAAGCACAAAGGCGGTATAAATTCAGAGAGAGTTAGTACGAAAGTTGTTTATCGTCACGTAGACATTTTGCAAGTTCCTAAATTTATTTTTATTTGTGTATTTTACTTATCTATTTTCTATATTTTTTTATTTTTTCTATGTTTCATTCTTTTGTTTTTTACACATTTAAAAATTTTTCTTTATTTTCATTTAGTTTTTTTATTTGTTTTTCTTTTCTACATTCCCATTTATCTATTTTATTTGTGTTTCTTTCTATATTTTTTTTTGCATCAAGTTATTTTACATTCGTCACTGCTGCATTCGACACAATTATGTTCTTTCCGCTACCAACATTTATCAATATTTTTGAATATGAAAAACTCGCAATAAATGACGCAGCGAATAACATCGATTTCACATGATTCAGTATATTTTAATGATTACATAAAGATAGAGAACACACGTACAAGTGTAGATTTGTTATCGCGTGAGAGACGGTTGTTTTATGATTGCCATTAATTTGATACAAAATACCGCTACTCTCGTTAATTATTGTTACAGTAATAATTACACGATAAGTATAAGAAACATGATCGGACTTAGGATCACCATGGTGATTATTTTCGTCTTTTTTTTTCTTTCCTTCTTCGGTTATACACACGTATGAATTTCTTTGCGACGAGATTTTCGTGTTACATAAAATAATCAGCATTTTATTGTATCAGTCGTTAAAAAGCTTCAATTAATTTCATGGCACAGAGGCATTATTTCTTACTTTAGCTTTTTAATGATCGGTATGAAGTATTTTACGCGGGCAGCAGTTTTATAGAATGTTCGCTGATTCCAAATTAACGAGGGATTCTGCCATTGAAGTAGAGATTTACTTTGTAAATACAATTTTATGGAATGCAATCAAGACATTATGTTATTCCAATGGATCAGAGACGAAAAGAGAAAGATAAAGTGGAAGATAACGTTCGAGATTAAGTGCTTCTCGCTGTTTTTCACATTTAATTTCACCGCTGCATTCTTTCGTTCGGGCTGCATGATAACACATCAAAGTTCACGATTAGGGTCTTCGATTTTTCGACTTCTTTCCCGTATTCCTTCCTTCTCGTTTCGCGCGTGGTACATTATCTTAAAAGTTGCATTCTCTTAATGTCGCATTCTCTTAAAAGACGCAGTGTCACTTGAAGTACGCGGATATCCTGTTGCCAGCATTTGATATGCCCATTATATTCTCTATGAGAAGTGCGGTATCGCGCGAGCATGAAAGTCCGTCGAGGAGGCTTTACCCGCGCCGAATGTGGATGGAAAGCGGAACGACGGCCGTTTCGAGGATTGCACGTAATTATATACTCCGCGGAAAAACGCGAGAAACGCTTGTTAATGTCGTGACACGCGAATCCGGTAGCTTTCCGTCCAACGATTGTGAATGCAAATCGCGTGGATCCAAACGAGTGGAAAGTAATTAGCCTCGATTTGCGAATAAATATCGCTGCTAATTTTTATTTCACTACGTCATAAACTTTCAAATGCGTTAGGATACGGTATTTTATTCTGGAATAAAATTGAATGTAATTTTAAATTTATCACATAAATATTAGTGAGAGAGAGCGTCCTAATTCGATATAGCGAGCTGGCAATGAAGAATGCAGCGCGATTCAATGAATTTGGATAGAGATAAAATTGAAACGAATACGAGCAAAATTGTAAAGGATATCCACATGACTAGGCATTTACACATTGTAAAGTTATGTAACATTCGAGTGTTTACATTATAATGCTTATAATACATTACATTACAACAGTTTGCACTTCGCGTCATTAGGAAAGAAACCAATAACGAGAAGCGGTCATCGGGTATAAGCTTTCAATAAATCATTACACACGCCTAATCTATTCATACCTATCATTAGCAATAAATTGTCGTCCTTGGTTGCGCGTCACACTTGCGATATGATTCAATCTTCTTTACTGACTGGTTGTCACCGAGTGCGACAAATATATAAATTCATGAAGAACGAATAACATTAATGCCGTTGTGTTTATTAACTCGATTACTCTGTTGTCTTGTACAGAAATACTTTTCGCTTTTTGATTTGGAATTTCCGAACGCAAATAAAGCCTACGGAAGCGGAATTCTAATTTTAATTTTTCACGATAACTCATAAATTATTATTAAGATTGATATTTTGTAGTCGTAAATTCTTTTACCACATTTTTCACGATTCCGTATTTCCAATTTTCTTTGTAACAAATTTATGTAAATAAAATAGAAAGCAGAACGGCGGCAGAAAAAAAAAGAAATATTTGATATCTTTAATCGCGCTAAAAGCACTTTAATTAAATTTAGTTTCATCTTTTCTTTGCTTTGTTGTACTTTCCTAGATTACGTTACTGCGAAAAACACTCTAATATCACAAATCAAATTATAATTTTGATTGATTGATTATTGTAGAACTATTATTATTGTAATAATATTATGATTTATCATACTCATAACGACGTTTATATCATTTAGCAAGTTCAAGGCCCCATCGCCGGATGAAAGTTATGGCCGCGGCCGGGATTGGAACGTCGACTTGATTCCCAAGTTCCTGATGGCGAACGGTCTTCTCGTTAAGCTGCTCATTCATACGGGAGTGACTCGTTACCTGGAGTTCAAGTCGGTGGAAGGTTCATACGTGTATAAATCAGGCAAGATCTCGAAGGTGCCAATCGATCAGCAGGAGGCGCTTTCCAGCGATCTGATGGGGCTCTTTGAGAAACGGCGATTCCGCAGTTTCCTCATGTGGGTGCAGAACATGCAGGAGGATGATCCAAAGTCGTGGGACGGCTTCGACCCCTTCAACAGCAGTATGAGTGCGCTCTACAACAAATTCAGTCTCGACAAGAACACGCAGGACTTCACCGGGCACGCACTAGCACTGTACAGGTAATAATTGATGAAGAGAGAGTAATTTTTTTGGAATTGAGTTGTGAGATTACAGCAATATGTCTTTTTATCATTTTAACGAGCTTTGCGAGAACGTAAATTTAAATATTAATGTATATATCTTTTCAAAATCAGGGATGATGATTACATAAGCCAAACTGCGATAACCACCATTAGAAGGATTAAACTGTACAGCGATAGTTTAGCGCGGTACGGAAAGTCGCCGTATCTTTATCCGATGTACGGCTTGGGCGAACTTCCTCAAGGATTCGCGCGACTCAGCGCCATTTACGGTGGCACGTACATGCTGGACAAGCCAATTGACGAAATTGTCATAAAGGATGGCAAAGTAAGCATCACGTTTGCCATATCTTTGTCATATCTGATGAATTACATGCTATTGGTGCCTGAAATTAATTATTGTTTCGTGCAGGTGGTCGGTGTACGCTCCGGCGATGAGGTAGCACAATGCAAACAAGTCTTTTGTGATCCTACGTACGTACCTGATCGTGTGAAGAAAATCGGTCAGGTGATAAGGTGCATATGCCTGATGGATCATCCGATACCAAGTACGAACGACGCACTGTCCACGCAAATTATCATTCCTCAGAAGCAGGTGATAAATTGTTCATAATAAATCTTTCTTTTTCACCTAAAACTTTCGGGAATACCTTTGAACTTCTCGATATAGCTTCTTAATTTTAAAATTATAAGAATTTTTTTTAATTTCAAGATTTTATATCAAGTTTTTTGAAGTTATTTATTTGCAATTTGCAGGTTTCGCTTATTTTACATATTTTTAATCAAACACTTTTTTTCTCAGGTTGGTCGTAATTCCGACATTTACGTGTCTCTCGTGTCACACACCCATCAGGTCGCGGCAAAGGGCTGGTTCATTGCCATGGTTTCGACCACGGTGGAAACGAAGAATCCGGAGATCGAGATCAAGCCTGGTCTGGACTTGCTTGGTCCGATTAGACAAAAGTTTGTCAGCATCTCTGACTATATGGCACCGGTGGATGACGGCCTCAACAGCCAGATATTCATATCTACCAGTTACGATGCGACTACGCACTTCGAGACCACCTGCTTAGACGTGCTCGATATATTCAAGCGCGCCACCGGTGAGGAATTCGATTTCAACAAGGTCAAGCACGAACTCGGCGACGAGGATCAGTAACCGTAATCATGGAGTACGCGCGTGCATTTATACCACATCATACCACGGGGAGATCGAAGCGCCCAGTATGAATTCGCGTATTCGAGTAAAAAAATAAAAAAAGGAAACATCGCTCGATGATCGCCGACCACGTCGGTATGCGACAGTGTCTCAAGGCAGATACTACGGAACAAGTCACGCTGCGAGCAGACCTGTGCCTAATTATGAGATTCTCTTTAAAAGAGGATGGAAAACGAAGGCAAAGTTGGCTAAATTCTCTATCTCTTTCTCTTTGTCTCTCTGCCCTACATCGTCCTTAATCTCATCCTGCTGTTCCTGCGGATCCTTCAAAGCACACAAATTCTTTCTCTTTGTCTCTCTGCCCTACATCGTCCTTAATCTCATCCTGCTGTTCCTGCGGATCCTTCAAAGCACACAAATTCTCATATTTACATGGAGGAACTTTCGGACTCTATTTCTACGACTTTCAACGGATTATAAGGTTAGATCCTCTTGTAAATTTATATTTTGCACGGAACGTAAATCCAATCTGCCAATATAATACGTTCGTACGAAAAATAATACTAAAAGAGACAAAGATAAATGCAGACGTCCGTCACTGTGTTTATACAGTACATATGTATCATATCTTAATGTACCGAGATGTAGGTGAAACGTTCATCGGCAGATTAAATTGTACAAAAAAAAAAAAAGTCTACAGGTACATCACTGCGTTGCTACGTGAGGTACAATATATTGTTAAACTGACGTTTAACAAACTGATTGATTAACGATATAAGTACCATATCTGTCTAGATTAGCACTGTGGTAATTCCTATAGATATAGACGAAATGTTTCCGCAAAATCTCGGTTGTTACAAATTTGAAAAGGTTTATGTTGTCCGTGGTCAGATATGTTGATTTTAGGTTGCCCAAGTTGCATTTAAACATTTGAACAAAGTAATCGTACAATGGTATATATGAATTTTACATGAAGCGGACGAAGATATTGCATCGATAAACGTTCCGCTGCTTATCGATCGTCCTAGCAAATTTAAACATAGCGTCCAGATATAACGTGTTGTTCGAAAAGTTATATTTATTCACGTATGGGATTGTGTAACTATATTTTATCTCGCATATTCGTTTACCTTTGAAGAAATTTTCATTTAGGAAGCAAATCGTAACTATGGATAGCACGATTAGATATCTTGAACATATGTTTAGAAACAGAATTAGGAATAGGAGAGTCGCATGCTCATACACGCTTGAGACAAAGTTGATGAAAAGTGCTGAAGGAGGAAAAAAACGAAAACAGAAATTGATATCGAAATGTTCGAACAAAGAGGATATCCGGAGTGGCCAAGCATTTCATATTATAGATATATTATAGATCTATATAGTTATATATATATATATAAAAAGATATGTATACATATATAAATACGAAAAAATGGAATCGTTAAAGTGTTGTTGTTTCGTGTGAGCTTGAGATCCGGACTATTTCTTTTGCATAATAAATACGAGTGTATCTCGTAATATTATATCGTTACTTGATAAGAAGAGAAAACGAGAGTGAATATTCACATATATACATTGATCGACTAAATAATGGCATACGTACGTCTGCATGCTTGCATCAAAGAAGAGATGGATCAGCTGTTTTCCTAGATTCACATTTTTTCCTTTGCACTCTGGTATGGGTTACGACAGACACACGCAATTTCATACAAAGTATGAAAAAAATCTGGAAAACGGGTACATTAGGATAACAGATACTTGTCTCGACAGCAATGGATACTCTTTATCGTCCTTTATCCATCAACTTGTAACACACAAAAGCAGAATGGAATAAATGATATTGTATTAATCGTGCCCTTTGCAATTCTAACTGGCTTTGCTTAAAATTTTGGGACATAGGAGGAAATGGTCGCGTTTAATGGAAAATTTATCGTCATATTTTTATTATATTGAATTTATTGTATTAACTAAGTTTCAGAATGTAAAGATTGTTGTCCCTGCATCCCAAGATAGCTAGATCGTTGTGGACAACCGGTGAGGAAAACGTTTCGCCGGGAAGTTGCTTAATCGCTAACGATTTGCCTCCCGATAGATCAAACACTTGGAAGGTGCCGTCTGTACATGCTACGAACATATGTCCATCACTGCACCAAGGAGTCGCGAAAATAGGCGAATGCAATTCTAACATGTATCTTAATTTCAGCTCGTTTTGCCCAATTATTTTCCGTGGCGTTTCGAGGCAATACAGATTTTTATTATGACTGGCCAAGATGACGCACTCGCTGTTTGTAAACTCACGAGTCAATGTCACGGGATACGAAAACACATTGCCGTGTATCACGTATCGCCATATCTGCAATAATAAGAGTCAAAACGTATTGGATAACAGGCGGATGGAAGATTTACACCTACTTGACAATCTGTTTCGATGTCGAAACAACACAATGTTCCAGCTACAGAACAAAATAGAACATGTCCAATCTCGAGAACGGCGGGGGCGACGAAAATCGGATCCTGCAGTTTGCGCTTCCACGTAACTTGTCCGGAACTTTGTTGCAGAGCCAAGCACGTGCCGTCTAAAGTTCCGAAAAGAACGGAAGTCGATTGTTGGTGCAAGCAGCCAGTGGCACAGATTCCACCTTGACTCGCTTTAGTTTTCCATACTTGAGCACCGTCCTACAAAATTGTATACTTTGCAGATAAAGCGTAGATTATTTAACATGCAATTTAATAATTTTAATATAATTAATATTGATACAATAATACCGCGTACTTCTATCGAAAGACAATATACACAACGGTCGTAAGAACCCACGAATATTCTGTTTCCTTGCACACATGTTATCGCCGTGCATTTAACCATGTCCTGCGTTTGAAATTTCCAGATTACTTCACCAGTTTTCAGGTGGATACAATAAATGCATCCATCATAGCAGCCTGCAATTGGAAATATGCATTATATTATTTATTAGTTAATAATTGTTAAATAGCGTTGTTAATACAGGACTTGCCTACGATGCCGCGAAAATTAGCCAGAACTAAAACAGAAGCTTCTATCCTGTCCGGTAGTTTCACCTCGTGCGGAGTACTGTTTGTTTCTAGCAAATTAACAGTACATATAATTCCGGAATGTGAGCCGACTGTTGCATATAATTCTGTTCTAAAAGTTCAGAAACGTGTAAGGAATAATATATGTTTTTTTTTAATTAAAATATATTTCAGCAAAATGATGCTTACTCGGAATAACGATACACAGTTGGCGAAGCGTCGACACATTTTTGCAAATTATAGGTTGCTGATATTTCAATATTTGATATATTTTCTAAAAGAGATCCAGGACTTTGTTCTTGTATTAACGCATCGCCATAAATTCTTCCTCTGCATTTATACTGATAATTTTTATTATTTGATTGTTTTGCGAAAGATTCTTTTGTATTAAGCATTTTTTTAGAAGAATTGCCATCAAGAGAAACGCTGACGCGACTGACATTCTTGCTGCATTCTCGGCTAATCAAAGTACTTTTGATATAATTGACACACTCGTTGAATGTAACATCCTTAAGCAACATACCAATCAATTCAGGAAATTCTATGTTAAAAACCTCAGCGGCGGCGCTTGAGATCTGAAGTGCTGCTATTGATGTACCACCAGAAACCAAAAAACCAGCATCTTTAGATTTTATGTGCTGGTTCCATAAATTCTCAAATATATTATCCACATCTTTTGGATTAATATTTTCTGTTTTAGATTCTCGACATATTTTTCTTAGCGACGCGAGGCAAATTTTTCCACTAGTAGTAAGATTAAAATGTTCTAATATAATTATTTTATCAGGTTTATAAATCGCTGGTAATATCTTTAAGTGTGACATTATATCATTTTGCAACTTAGGAAATTCTTCTGTTTTTGTAGTGCATAAACATATATATAATTTGTGGCTCTCTGCGTCCCATATTGCAGCACAATTCTGTACGTAATTTAATTCCGTCACGACTTTCTCAAGTTTTCGCAAATTTATTTTGTTTCCAAATCTTTTGACGATGTTATTTTGTCTTCCTCTGTGAAATATTCTACCTTGATCATCTATCTGAAAAGAAAGAAAGTATGGTATCACAAATTTGAATTTGAGTTCAATTATATAATTTAATTTTCAAAAGAAATTAAATTACAAAATGTTTTAGAATAATTTGTCAACAAAACTTACTCACTGAAACGATATCGCCAGTATCACGGAAGATTGGTGCACTCAAATCTTTTTCACTTTCATTTCCAACAATGCAAATTCTACTACTACTTCCTATATTAGAAATAATAATGAAAAAATTAGTTTATATAAAATAAAATCATACAAACATATTTACATATAAAACTAGTGTTAACCTACCGATATAAAGAGTGCCTTCGCCTCTAGTTATCACTTCGTTATCTTCATTTTTAATCTGGAATATCGTTTCTGACAGAGGCTTACCAAGGCAAGACTCAATGTCATTGTTTATAATGATCTCATTAATACTAGACCAACATGATATTTCTGTTATTCCATAAATATTAAATATCTTTGTTATATTTTGTGGATGACTAGCTTCTGAAAGTAATTTTATGCTAGGAAATGGTTCTCCACCCAAAAGAAGAATTCTTAACTGAGAGTCCTTATCTAATATTGTTGTTTTCAAACGTTCAGTGGACCATTTATGAAAGAGAAGCGATGGAGTAATTTGAAGAAGTGTTACATGAGCGTGGAATATTTCCATTAAAAGTCTGAAAAAATATTTCTGTCATAAATCTTATCTTACTTTTTCAGCATTTACTTTTTACAGTGAATTCTTTGTACAATATTTATTCACCTGTTTGTCTCATTGTTTAATGACTTTGATACCATAAACAGAGTTGCTGCACAACAAAGACTTAAGAAAATTTCAACAATACTAGGGTCAAATGTGAAACTTGTTAACTGAGCGATTTTATCAGATTTTGTTACATCTAGAATTTTCTTTAAATCTATAATATTAGGCAATATACAAGAATGGGGCACTTTAACAACTTTTGGTATCCCAGTTGATCCTGAAGTGGCAATTGCATATGCAAAGTGATACCATCTTCTGTTACTGATACTTTCTTGAACATCTATTAATTTTGTCAAGTATATAGACTGTCTATGAATATCAAATTGACATATGATCTCTCTGTTCGATATCACATGTTTCTCAAAAATATATTTTACATGTAAAGAGACAAATAATTCTTTATATGTCAATGGATCTGCAGGCACATTGAAAAAAGCATGTCCACTATCAAGAATTCTGCGAAAAAATAAACGGATTTGAAATAAATATTCATAATAATCAAATTATCTAATTAAATATTTTCAGAAAACTGCAAGAATATTTATATCTTACCCAAGCATTAAAGAAGGCACACAATATTCTAAAACATCAAAATTAATGCCAATAAATTCAGGATTCTGTATGCATTTCAAATGTTTCGAAACTGTTTCTTTTGCTGCTTGCAATTCATTATAATTTATAATTTTAACTTCATCTAACTCATGATACTCTATAGCTGATTTGTCAACATAAAACCAATTGCATATATTCTGTAAGGCTCGTGGACAATCTTTGTTGTCCTCTTGTGTCTTTAGTTGTTTAGCGCAATTAACTAAAAGAACATAAGGAACTTGATAAATATGCAAATTATATGTCGTTCTTATTAAAATTAAAGCAAATTTAATGTAATTATGTATTGATTCATGTTATGTACTCACTTGCGTGACTCATATTACACATAATGTATGCACAAGCATTACATTAAAATAATGTTTTTTTTATGTTCAAACACACATTAATGAAGATCATGTAAAATTGATTTTTTTTCTCAAATACAGATAAAATGAGATGTTTTAGTCAAGTGAATCTCGTTGTAGGTTATGTCTTAATGTTTGGAACAGAAAACATGGGTTCTCAACTTATAATTTAGTCGTATTGAACATAATTATAAGCAAAAAATAACTTTGTCAAAACTAGACGCAAAATATATAATTCATTCAACTAATAATCAAATTCTTAAATTTAATATTCTTAAGTAGAGCTTGATTTTCTTCAAAGGATTTGAAGGAACCATAGAGGCATTAATAAAATATATGAGAACTTTTAATTTTTCGTTTAATATCATTAAATTGTACAATTTTAATGCTTTAAGGTAAAGTAATACACTAAAACCTTGCAAATAAAATAATTAAAAATAAAAAAGCATGTTCAATGCACATTATATAGTAATATTGAGAAATTTTACATTGTTCTACGTTACGTGGTGACGTTTATATAAGTGTGTACAAGCATATATTTGACAAATTATCCATAATTATTATTCTATCTTCATTCAGTTGAAATAAATAATGGTGATTAGACCTATGCGATATAAGGTACCAGTTCTTTGCATAACATTATTTGATTTTGTTATTAGGGTTTCATACTATCAAAGAAATTCATCCTTGAAGAGAAACTATTGAAGTAACCGAGTTGATAAGTTTGAATTCTAGTAACATATTGACATATTACTTAACATTTAAAAGATTTGCACGATTTATAATTCGCAATTAGATCTACTTTTCCTCACACCACTCATTTTCCTTGCGTACTTGTTCTTCCTCTGAGGCAGTAAAATCATTCTTGATGTTGAACGTTTTACGAATCTCTTCAGGCGTCTTACCTTTGATCATATTAGCAACAGTTTTGCATGTGACATCCAAAAGTCCCTTGATGTCGAGATAATTAGCAGCCAAAATCAGTTCAAAGAGAGTTCCTTGATCCACCTATAAAATAAAAACATTTATATTTTATTTTAGTTTATAGAAGAATTTAATGTTATGAGTCATTATAATTTGTTATAATTTTATTTTGTTTAGATTCGACAAAGATGATTGCCTTTAAGAAGTCAGCATCCCAAGAACTGATATCATCAGTTCTCTTCTCTTTGTTTTCATCATCTTCTGGTGGTGGTGGATCATCCTTGTGATATGTAGCCCACTGTATAACTTTTCTTAATATCGCTGAATTAACATTCGGCAAGGGCACAACTTCCTCCTCTTCCTCATCCATACCAAGATCTTCCAACATGGTCTTTATAGTGACTGAACATTTTGCGATTTCAACATCAACCTCGAATACCTCACCATCTGAACTCTGCAGCTTTATGTTGGGCATCTAAATATATAGAGGATGGAAATAATCTAACTGTACGTCAAATAAGGTAATTTTTAATCATTTTTAAACAATTTTTAAGATTTGATTGTCAAAGAAAATATCAAACCGCAAATTAATAATAATGAATTAAATAATTTAATTAATTTTAATTTTATTTTTAATTTAATTCTTATTTAATTAATTAAATTAATTAATTTAAATACACGTGTTCAAAATATCCTGTTGCTATGCTATGGTATAAAAACCACGTTATATTGCTGTAGTAGAAAAACCACGTTATATTACAGAACAAAGCAATATCATGATATCTGCCTGTCTACATTTAATATTATTCCAATTTGTGATGAAAATCCGCGCTGAACAATTTAATAATTATTTTAATAATTCGTGCAAAGAAAATATTCTAATATCGCGTGGTCAAAACTAACGAGATAGAACTGTATCAAGTTAACCTATGTTTCTTTACATTATTTTGGTTATTTTTTTTGTTCCATTATTTACGTTGCAAATAATATTTAATCGGCACGCGAAAAGTCTTTGTTTCACGCGATCTATCAATCAGTTGATCGCTACTAAATCGGAAAGATAATAATTACCTTTTATTCCGAACGGTTGTCGATCGTAGAAGAGCAACTGAACAACTCGAATGTAATGCGTCCACTAATGGTTGAACACGTCTGAGGACGCCTAAGTTGGTTGTGTTTCTGTACCTCCAAAGTTCACGACCGTTTGCGAAGAATTTCTTTTTTTTTTCACGTCTTTGTTGCTCTTTCGTTAGCTCTTTTTCTTCGACACTTTACTACCACGACCTGTATTATTCTTGATGCACACAGTACGTTTTTTTTTTCTAGTTAATTCTAGAAATTTGATAGGTTTCTCATTTGATATGCCATCTACGTTTATTTCAGAGCTGGAACTTCATAGTCGCATCTCCTTTTTTTACACTGCTGGTAAAATCGCTAGTTCGATTTAGCGTTTGAAGTGATAGATGGAAGCACTTTTCCCTATTAATTCGCGTTTATTCAGATAATCTTACATGGTTGCACGAAGAGTAAGCAAAGAGAAATTTATCAATTATCATGCTCGAGTTTAGCTGTTTGCCGCGTATAGGTAAATATTTAATTTCGTAATATCGAATAAACATAATTAATAGGAGAAATTATTAAATAATTTCAAAGTGTAGTCTAATAAAGCAGATTTATCTTTCATAATATTTTTTGTCAAAGAAAAGAATCTTGAGAATTTGATCTCTTATTGTTCTAGGCATATATCTTAATAAATTGTGCACTAATAATTTAAAAGACGCGACAAGAAACATGTTTATTTTTTTACAAAGAATTATCAAGGCGTCATATTAGTCGAAAGATAAAAATGATCATAACTCATGCAATGATTTAAAGGTTAAATTTATTTAGAAGTAGCATTAATGTATATTTTATATCATAATTGGTTTGTTTATATAAAAAAGTTATCATAACTGTGATGATTATTTTAAGTCTCTCTTTTCACCAGTATTGATCGAAAGATTTTTTATCAAGAAAGATTTTTTATGAAACTAAGGACAAACTAATTGGTCAGCGTATGCGGTGATACATTCGAATCCCATTGATAACATTGGAAATAATGTTTCAGCTCTTATACTCGGATCCTCTTCAACCGAAATGTACAAAAAAAGTTTTTTACATTTTGTTTGAAGAGGACCCGAATAAAGGTGCCTTTTCACGCTGACGCTCGACGCTCATTTTTAGCGTCCAAATATGTCACGTGAACAAAGTTGACGCTGGATGTGAGAAATGCATGAAAAGAGTTTCTCGTAAAATTTAGCGTCAGTCAGCGGTCTGCGTCGGTATTCATCAATATTTGTATATATCAAAACTGTTAAAAGTTTTTGTCACTGATTTTGTTCAGTTAATTTTTTCACTCGCTTTATTAATAATTACTGTTTTAAATATTAAAAAAAGTGCAATTAAGTAGGAATAAGATAAAACCTTTGGTTACCAGTTCTACTTATTTTATCGAAAATGCTAAAAAAATGTTTATTAATAATTTTTTTATTATATGTAATATTTTTTATTATATGTTTACAAACATAAAATATTTACTTCATGTCATATTATTTATTTTGATAAGTATACAAAATGTATATCTTTTCAATTAAACAAAGTTTCATATTATTGCAAACTTTGATAAGTAGAGTAGGAAAAACGATATTAGAATAGTTGTTCAGTATTAGAAAATTTCTAATGTAATACTTAAGAATAGCATTTTTCAAAGTTAGAAAATTAATTGTATAGAATAAAAATGCACAGCATATTTGTATATATTATATTTCAAGCTTTTATTTATAACAAAATAACTTTTTATTGAATTAAATTTACATAACATTGATATTAAATTTACATAATTAAACATATATAATATAAAGATAATTATAAAAATATATTTTGCAAATAAATACAATACTGCTGATTCTTCCAAACCTCAAAAAGTATCATTTTTAATTCATTACTTATTCATTCTTTTTATTTTCTTTATATATATGTAGTATTGGATAATAAATTCAATTATTACTTTTTATTACTTAAATAACATCCATTTTTATTAACAAGGTTGAAAGACCACATGAGACATATGCAAATCCAATAGCGAATAGCACGCACAGACAGATCATCGCACAGATCGCACGACTTGACGCTAAAGCTAAAAAAATCCAGCTTTTTTTTCTTGACGCTAGCGTCAACTCGAAGTCACGTGACTATGGGCAACGCTGAAACGAGCGTCCCATGAATTTGCACCTTAACGGTAACAAAAACGTAACATAAAGCTACGCTAGCTAACGCACTGATTGCAAGAAGCATAAGCAAATCCGATCCGAAGCTACTCTCTCGCTGGACAGAGTGTACTCTCCTAATTATTCCGCTCGCCTACCAAATACCTAAACAAGCCTTAAGGCTTAATAATATTCCTACAGTTTGGTCAGTCTGACAATACATTCGTCCTCGAATGTGAGCGATGGCTCTCTCTCAATTGTCCATCCCCACACTTCGGGCTTCCTACCAGTCAGGCTTCTTCATTGAACATAAACGAATACACATCACCTTGTATATCCACATAAACCTACCTAATCTAAACCTACAGAAAGTAAACAAAATTCTATTTTTCTATCTAAATTCTCTGTCTTCCTTTGGATTTAGCGGATTCAATCCTACTTCTAAAACTGTAAGCGTCGGAAAAAATTAAAAAGCTGACCGGGTTTTGAATTCGGGATCCTTTGTTCTCACAATCTAGCACTTATTGTTGCCCCACAACTGCTCCACTATTGTTCTACTAGGTGCGCAACTAAGTTTCCGGGTTTCACACATGAATGGCGCTAACGATACATGTAGTCGATATACATGTCTAAAGTTGTGTTTTTTTATTAACTTGGACATCTGTCAACAATAACCAGTCATAATACCAACACATATTGCAACGCAAAAATATTTTTTCTAACAATAAAGATGTCGAGTTTTGTGCCAAATAAACAGCATTTGCGGGAAGCTTTGCTTTTCTGCTTCAACTTGAAAGAAAATGCAGCTGAAGCACGCCGTTTGCTTGAGAAAGCCTACGGCGAACATGCACAATCGAAAACTACTTGTGAAGATTGGTTTAAAACGCTTTAGAAATGGCGATTTCGACACTGAGGACAAGGAGCGCTCCGGAAGACCAAAACATTGAGGACGCCGATCTGCAAGCGTTA